AAAAAAAAAAAAAAAAAAGGTTCAGTATTAGGTAATTAGATAAAAAAATCAATATGCTGTAGAGAGATAGGAAAAATATGCAACAGGGTTTTTAGTTTGTTTTTTTGGAATTATTTTAAATAGTGGATCAATAACATAAGTTAGCACCCTTTTACAGCTAGAGAGAATGGAGATTAACAGGTTAGAGATATTCATTTAAAACACCAACACTGTAGTTTTAATTCCCTGGTCTATCATGTACTGTACTGTCTTTGCAGGACCATTAAATATGACCTTTAAAGATAAGACAGTTAGGATAGTGGTATCTTAAAAAAAATGCTATGCTTGGTGTAGACTAACTGAATATAATGCATGTTCCAACAAAGTTTGCATAGTCTGCAGTAATGGGTAGTGGATATAGGTTGGTCTGAATAATTTATTTCTACAAGGATTATAATTATTCATTAAGTCATAATCCTGAAGTTGGTGCTGTAAAAACCAGAAGAAAACACAGCCCATGTCTAAAGAGCTTACTCTCAAAGCAAGCATGTTGTTCTTAAAGTTCACCATAGAGCATCTGTCCCATTAAAGTAGATGCAAGCCGGTGAAACTCAAAACAAAAACACTTCAGAGCAATCTGAGTAAGCACATCCAGCTGTTTTTGCTTCAAGACTCCTAAAAGCAGAAAGAGAATTATCACAAAGTATTAGAAAAACAATGGATCTGTCTCCCTCAAAGTTATCCTTTAAGCTGGTCAAGAGGTGGAGAGTTGTCTTTATAGGAAAATCCTGATTGAATTGTCTGAGTACATTCGGGGCTCATTAAGGCAGGGACAGTTTTTCACGCGTGTGCACACACCAACTCTATTCCACTCAGTGAATGATAAAAATAGTATGCACTAATATAGTTCCTTTTCCCCCAGAGGATCCCAAAGTCCTTCACAAATAAGTCACACACCCTGTGTGGGGTAGGTGAATAACATAGTATCATAGGAAAACTCATTTCAAGTTCATATCCATGCTTCTTTATTCTACAGATCTCGGCTAAGCAAGATGGTTAGAAAATTCCTAATAAGCATTCACCTCATGAATTCAAAGCCCTAGCAAAGTCATTTAGGACAGTGGAGTGATGAAGCCTATGTGCGAGTGAATGTACACCAAATGATTGTAACTTGATGTAACTATCAAGAACCATCAAATGCATTCAGGTCCTACAGTGAAGTATTATTAAAAATGTATGGATCTAGAAAGGGAGTGAGCCTTTGAGAAAAAGTGAATTAGGGACCAAATCCCAAGAGTACCTTCCACTGTGGTTGACATTAACTGGGAGCAGAATGCACTCAGCACTTTGCAGATAGTGATCAGTCAGCGCCTCACAGGATTGGCCCCCAACTATCTTACCACATCCAAATTCTGAGATTTTGCATTCAGACACAGTCTAAGCTTAAAACCCCTGAATTCACTGCCTGTATAAAGATCATTAAAGCCATGGACTGGTTTTGAGTCCAAAGAACATATTAGAATCTGCTGAGAAAGCCACTTTTATGTTTATCAAGGACATGGGCCATTGAGGGCCATTTTGTTAAATATAATTTATTGTAATAAGCATTTTTGTACATTCCAGTGGTTTTGGTGAACGTGGGGGACAAAGGTTGATTGTTAATATTAGTGAGAAGCACGTCATTCTTTCTGAAGGGAATACATATTTTCTGTAT